GAGCCCCTGGCCGCCGAGCGCACCGAGCGCCGCTTGTCGATAGATCACTGCAGGGACTTTTCGTGTTTGAACGTCGGGCTTCAAGTGTTGACACTTTTCAGAAGAGATTTTCCGGAGTGGTCGGCTCGCACCGGCGCGGGAAGATAATGCGCTTACGCGTCGACACGCTTTCATTGGCGGCCCGCCTGGGAGAGCGGGGTCGAGTCGCAGACGGAGACGGTGTGGCGTGTCACCAGGGGGTGTTACGGCCGCCACCCGTTTTCACTTCTCCGAGTGGTCGAGTACTGGGCGGCGATCCTTCTGTGTGGAGTCTGTAGTTGAGTCGAACCTGAAGTAGGCTCCACGGTCGAAACGTTGTGTTTTCTTTCTTCTCTTTTCAGCAGGGAATATAAACCTGTTACGTGATAATAGATAGATACTTTATTGATCCCGTGAGCGAAATTGCACTGCGACAGCAGCACTGTCAACACAGCGACAGTGCAACGAAATGATACAACAATACAACAACACAATCCAATCAGTCTTGTCAGTGAGAAGTGCACTAAGAAGAGTCGCTCACAAGTCCAGAATATACAAAGAACAAACCAGAACAGTACACAAAAAAGTTGTATTGCACGTTATAAATATATTGCACAAGTCCCTGGCATCTGTTGCACAAAAAAACAGTTGTAAACGGGAAAAAAAAGAAAAGAAAAGAAAAAACAGATGTAAGAATAGAGTTTACTGTTTAATCCAAAAACTAAACCAGGCGGTGCCATAGGCATCATCGTGTATTTTTACCAGCGTGCGAATGTGTTCGCACCAGCGACCTGTTCAACCCTCCGGCCCCGTTAACGAGCTCGACCTCGGGATCCAGCGCCGACCCCTGTCGTCCTTTTCCTCGTTCACGGATTGCATCTCCTCAAACCTGGCCAGCTTTCTGGATGAATGCGTGAGCAAGGTGACGTCTGTGCGCTCTGTTCGGCTGGACAAGAGCACCGGCGCTGTCTGTGTATACTGTATATACATACAAAGTTCAAGCAAGGAGCTGCGTCCGAGGAAGAAGTAGAGGTTGATTCCTGTGCTGAAAAGAGAAGAGACACACAGCTTTTCGGTCGTGGAGCCGAAAACAGAAACATTTACAACGCTGTTTTGCAAACCTTTACCTTCAAGCAGGTAAATGTGTTTGATTTAAGGAGTTTGATATCACGTTATACCTCGCAATACTTCGTAATGTGGGAAAGAAAGAGGATTTGTTTATATAGTTTATATT